AACCAAAAGAAGCCGTGCGGAGAGAGAAGCTACTAAAAGGAACAACCACTAGGGCTAGGAGTTCCTTGTGGGAATGAGAATGAAGGTAGGGAATAGGCAAGGTGGGTGATATAGTTTGGGTCTGTGTCCCCACCCAAATCTCATGTTGAAATGGAATCTCTAATGCTGGAGGTGGGGCTGTTGGGAGGTGACTGCATCATGGGAACGGTTTCTTTTTTTTTTTCTTAAGGCAGAGTCTCCCTCAGTGACATGATCCTGGCTCACTGCAACCTCCGCCTTCCGGGTTCAAGTGACTCTCCTGCCTCAGGCTCCCCAGTAGCTGGGACTACAGGCGCCCGCCACCACACCCAGCTAATTTCTTTGTTTTTTATTGTTGAGATGGGATCTTGCTATGCTGCCGAGGATGGTGTCAAACTCCTGGCCTCAAGTGATCAGCCTGTCTCGGCTTCCCAAAGTGCTGGGACTACAGGCGTGATCCAGCATCCAGAAATAGATGCTGCCATGTGTCCTATACAGCCTGCAGAACTGTGAGTCAATTAAACCTGTTTCTTTGTAAGTTACACAGTCTCAGGTATTTTTTTATAGCAATGTGAGAACAGACTAATACAGTGAGAAAAAGTTTTTTAGCCAAGTACTTATAAGACTTTAAACAAACAGAAAAGCTGACGCAGATATGGGCTCAGCCTTCTGAGGGCGTCAGAGACAAGAAGGGCAGACGGAGAGTCTGGAATGGGCTGGAGTCCTTCTGTAACTCTGAGCGAGCCTTCTCGCCTCCCTGAGCCCCTCTATCTCAAGTGAAAAATGGGCACAGTACAAAGGATGTCGTGAGGCTTCCATGGGTGACCAGGCTGAAAGGTGCTCCAGAAATATGACTTCCTGTTTATTTCTGACTTTTAGCATGGAGGCCCCTGGCTGGCCAGGCCATGGCAATCCTCTCCAAGCAGGGAAGACAGCAGATGCACGAGAGGACAGCGGGAAGACTGGGAGGGCAGCAAGATGGCCGTTTGGCAGGCACCACCTTCTGACGACATCATCCCCTCTGCAGGGGCTCAGCAGAATCTGGGGCCAGCACTAGCAGCTGCACATCAGCTACAGAACGGAGGGACGGCTGCCACTATGCCACCGGCCTTCTGCTGCGGGTATTCTCTCCAGTCCAAGGCAGCAGCACACAGTGGCCTGTACAGTTAAACAGTGTCTAGAAAGTGGGAGACAGGAGGCTAAAGGGCCTGGGATGATGCATTGGTGGAACCCACAACTCAGGGTTGGAATTCACTCCATCACATACCCTGGCATTTTTGTTGTTTGTGGTTGTTTTTGAGAGGGAGTCTTGCTCTGTTGCCCAGGCTGGAGTGCAGTGGCATGATCTCGGCTCACTGTAAGCTCCGCCTTCCGGGTTCAAGCGGTTCTCCCGCCTCAGCCGGCCGAGTAGCTAGGATTACAGGCGCCCGACACCACCCCCAGCTAATTTTTGTACTTTTAGTAGAAATGGGGTTTCACCATGTTGGCCAGGGCTGGTCTTGAACTCCTGACCTCAGGTGATTCACCCACCTTGGTCTCCCAAAGTGTTGAGATTATAGGCATGAGCTATTGCACCTGGCCTAAAAGTGTATTTTTTGAGAAGGTGTGCATTTGCTTCTGTGATTTCTACAGCTCAATGATCTCATGAAGTTTGGCCCCAAATTTACACAAGTGGGGCCTACTGGTTGGATATTTTCAGAGATTTTCTCTCCCACTCTATCTAGGACCAAAACCATGCGTCTCATCTATCTCCTCCCTCGGAGGGTTTTGGCTCCCAGCTTTCCTACTGAGATCCAAGCTTTATTTGCGTATCTCTAAACAGGCCTCCCATCCTGCTCCAGCTCTGTCTTCCACCCCAAGGGGTGGTCTATTAAAACCCAGACTCTGGGCTCTTGATGACTGGCAGGGGTCCAGCTCAGCAGGTTTAGTGCTTTTTTCAGGTCTGGCCTCTGGGGAGTGGCCTTATTTCCCTGCCAGTTCTTTATGTATACATAGATATCTCTCTCTCTATATTTTTTTTAAACAGAAATCACTACTAGCCCCTGCTAACCTTTTCCTTTTTTTTGAGACAGGGTCTCGCTGTATTGCCCAGGCTGGAGTGCAGTGGCGTGATCTTGGCTCACTGTAAGCTCTGCCTCCTGGGTTCGCGCCATTCTCCTGCCTCAGCCTCCCGAGCAGCTGGGACTACAGGCGCCAGCCACAATGCCCGGCCAGTTTTTTTGCATTTTTAGTAGAGACGGGGTTTCACCGTGTCAGCCAGGATGGTCTCAATCTCCTGACCTCGTGATCTGCCCGCCTCGGCCTCCCAAAGTTCTGGGATTACCGGTGTGAGCCACTGCGCCCAGCCCCCTTTTTATTTTTTTTGAGACGGAGTTTCGCCTTTGTCACCCAGGCTAGAACACAGTGGTGGATTGTGGCTCACTGCAATCTCCGCCTCCCGGGTTCAAGCAATTCTCCTGCCTCAGGCTCCCGAGTAGCTGGGGCTACAGGCGCGCTACCATGCCTGGCTAATTTTTGTATTTTTAGTAGAGATGTGGTTTCACCATGTTGGTCAGGCTGGTCTCGAACTCCTGACCTTGTGATCCACCTGCCTTGGCCTCCCAAAGTGCTAGGATTACAGGTGCGAGCCACGGTGCCTTGCCCTGTTAATTCTTTTGAAAAGACATATTATCGGCTGGGAGCGGTGGCTCACGCTTGTAATCCTAACACTTTGGGAGGCTGAGGCAGGCTGATCACAAGGTCAGGAGTTCGAGATCAGCCTGGTCAATATGGTGAAACCCTGTCTCTACTAAAAAATACAAAACTTAGTCAGGCATGGTGGCATGCACCTGTAGTCCCAGCTTCTCAGGAGGCTGAGGCAGGAGAATTGCTTGAACCCGGGAGGTGGAGGTTGCAGTGAGCTGAGATTGCGCCACTACACTCCAGCCTGGGCAAAAGAGTGAGACTCTGTCTCAAAAAAAAAAAGAAGATATATTATCCAGTATTTTTAGGTATATTGTAATTTAGCCCACGGCATTGTCAGGAATGGTAGTCTGGGGTTTGGATTTCCAGATATGGGTCCTGAAACTCCATGGGGCTTGGGTGTCTGCGACCTTTCTTCAACCTCGAGCTTAGACCCTTTGTCCTTCTGGGAGCTTAAATTACCTGCATAGAAGCTTCGCAAATCGGTGTCCAAACAGTTCTCCAGGAAGCGCCTCAGAGGAAGGATGTGCCCGATTGGGGCAGTCCAGTCTGTTAAGAAGTCTTCCACGATGTGATGGATGGCTGTGGGCCGAGGCAGGGGCCAGTGTGCAGGGCGGAACCTCACCTCCTGTTCTGTGGGGAGGAGAGAGGGGCCACGTCAGAGCCGCGAGGCTGGGCTTCCCCTCCTCGGGCCGACACAGCACGGATCCCACACAGCCCAAACACTTCCCTCACTCGCTCGTGCTCGGCTTTCCCGACAGCCTCCCAAGCTGGGCTGTGGTCAGCCTGTTCAAGAGCCACCTGCAGATATTTGAAAGGCTGCCATGAGGAAGAGGAACTAGGCTTTCCCCTTGTGGTTTCGGAAGGCAGTGCTGTAACTAGTAACTTCAGGCTGGCGTTTCTCTAACACTCACATGGACTGAGATCTATTGTGCTGCTTCATTTTTATTTTTTATTATTATTCGAGACAGAGTCTCACTCTATTGCCCAGGCTGTAGTGCAGTGGCACAATTTAGGCTCACTGCAACCTCCACCTCCTGGGTTCAAGCGATTCTTGTTCCTCAACCTCCAGAGAAGCTGGGTTTACAGGCACCTGCCACCACACCCAGCTAATATTTTACATTTTTAGTAGAGATGGGGTTCTAGTCTCTACCATGTTGGCCAGGCTGGTCTCAAACTCCTGACCTCAGGTGACCCAGCTGCCTCAGCCTCCCAGAGTGTGGGGATTACAGGCGTGAGCCACTGCGCCTGGCTGTGGCTGCTTTCAAACTGGCCTTTCTGTGAGAAGACTCAGAGGTGAGGCGAGGGGTCTCGGCACTCATCTAGTTCAGCTTCCCGCTGCTGTGGACTCCCTCCTGTGGTGTCCCAGTCAGACGGCCATCGAGTCATGACTTGGCCATCGCTATTCTGGGAAACCTGAATTTGGAGGTGACCAATTCCCCCAGTGAACAGCTTTAACTATTTTTTTGAGACAGAGTCTCGCTCTGTCGCCCAGGCTGGAGTGTAGCGGCACAATCTTGGCTCACTGCAGCCTCTGCTTCCTGGATTCAAGCGATTCTCCTGCCTCAACCTCCCTAGTAGCTGGGACTACAGACGCCCGCCATCATGCCCGACTAATTTTTGTATTTTTATTAGAGACGGGGTTTCACTATATTGGCCAGGATAGTCTCAACCTCCTGACCTCGTGATCCGCCCACCTTAGCTTCTCAAAGTGCTGGGATTACAGGCGTGAGCGACTGCGATCAGCCTTTTTTTTTTTTTTTTTTTTGAGAAAGTCTTGCTCTGTAGCCCAGGCTGGAGTGCAGTGGCGTAATCTTGGCTCACTGCAACCTCCGCCTCCTGGATCCTAGTTCAAGCAATTCTCCTGCCTCAGCCTCCTGAATAGCTGGGATTACAGGCATGTGCCACCATGCCCAGCTAATTTTTGTATTTTTTTCACGTTTTTAGAGATGGGGTTTCACCATTTTGGCCAGGCTGGTTTGGCCAGGCTGGTCTTGAACTCCTGACCTTGTAATCCGCTTGCTTTGGCCTCTCCAAGTGCTGAGATTACAGGCGTGAGCCACTGTGCCCAGCCTCTTAGTGCCTCCTTATACTGACCACAGACCTGCACCCCTGTTGCTGCTACCTGCTGACATGACTTCTGCCTTTGGGAACAACCTGTTTAAACCACCCTCTTCCACCTGACTGCCCTTCAAGCTCTGAAGCAGGGGGTGCGTTCCCGAGGTTGTTCATTTATCAGTAGCTACTCTGTGCCTGCACCGGGCTGGCATTCTGTGTATGCTGTCAGAGTTAACCTCATGGAACCCTACAAGAAAGGTACTGTCGTAATCCCCATTTTACAGAGGGGAGATTGAGGCTCAGAGAGGTTAAGTAATGGTCCAAGGTCACACAGTAACAAAAGGACAGGCCCAGGGATTTTGCCCAGTTTCTCTGTACCATGTTAACGAGCTCCGGTTCCCTCACTCTTCAGACCCCTCCCACCCCACCATGGTCAGCCTCCTCTGGAGACCTGCAGCAGGGCCGTGTCCCTCTTACTACACGGTGGCTGGCGGAGAGCACGACACTCCCCACGTGTCCTGTGCCGGTCACAGTATGTGTCAGAATCTGGAAACATCATTTATCGTTCTCGGACCTTCTGCCCAAGTGGTCTCTAGGCGGAGTCCCGCAGCCGTCCCCCGGTCAGCTGAGCGTGTGTGTGAAGGTTTCAGGGTGGGTGACAACCCTGCAGAGGGTAAGGTCTGAGGAGCCCACAGGTTGGGGGAGGGCAGAGACCTGCTCACCGGTGGGGAGGTATCTGTAGTAGTAGATGACCGGATGGAGGAAGTTAGACTGCCAGGCGTCTTCCGTGTGCCCCACAGACCGGTCATCAAAGAAGACGTCCTTGTCGGGGCCAGAGAAATTTCTGCCATATTCCATGTTGATGACGAAGAGCCCGTGCCTTGCCTTCCTCCCTGTGAGTGTCTCCAGTTGGGCCAGCATCTGTATGGGGAACTCCTCCAGGTACTCAAAGGCCATGGCATTCCTGGGAGAATGGCAACATGGGGGAGGCCCTCAGTGCTGTGGCAGAGGTGAGGGGTGCGGCACGGGGTGAGCATGCGTGTGTGCGTGTGTATCTCCCCTCTAAGGAGCGTCAATCAAGCAGTGCACCCCTCACTTAACATTACCGTTTCAGCTGAGCTCTTACACACATGTGGGGTAGAGTCCAGAAAATTCCATGTAACCTGAATGGGATATCTGGGGAAAGAGTGTCTCAGGCAGAGAGAATAGTCAGGAAAAAGCCCTGAGGAGTATGTGAGCACTTTGTGTTCAAGGAACAGAAGAGGCCGATGTGGCTGAGGGGAGTGAACAAGGGGCAGGGGCAGGAGAGGGGTTCAGAGACCTGAGAGGTCAGATCAAGGAGGGCTGTGCCTCCCATGACGAGACATGAAGGGTCGTCTGGCCTGAGAAGTGATGCTGCTGGTCGCTGGGGAGGACTAAGCAGAGCTGGGATCAGCGTGCCTCAGGTTTCTAAGGACCACTCTGGTTACTGTGCTAGGAACAGACCCCAGGCCAAGTGGGGCGGCTGTCATATGGGTGCTGGCAGTACAGCCTGGTGATCGGGACCGAGATGGTGGTGGTAGAGCGGGTGAGAGCTGGCTGGGTTCCAGACATCATCTGAAGGGAGAGGTAACAAGACTTGCCCATTGTTTGCATGTCAGGTGTCATTCGAGACAGGGGTGCCGGGCACGCTGACTCATGCCTGTAACCCCAGCACTTTCGGAGGCCAAGGTGGGTAGATCACCCGAGGTCAGGAGTTTGAGACCAGCCTAGCCAACATGGTGAAACCCAGTCTCTACTAACAATACAAAATTAGCCGGGTGTGGTGGCGGGCGCCTGTAATCCGTTACTCAGGAGGCTGAGGCAGGAGAATCGCTTGAACCTGGGAGGTGGAGGCTGCAGTGAGCCAAGATCACACCACTGCACTCCAGCCTGGGCAAGACACAGAGAGACTCTGAGTCAAAAAAAAAAAAAAAAATTAGCCGGGCATGGTAGCGGGTGCCTGTAATCCCAGCTACTTGGGAGGCTGAGGCAGGAGAATTGCTTGAACCCAGGAGGTGGAGATTGCAGTGAGCCGAGATCACGCCACTGCACTCCAGCCTGGGTGACAGAGCAAGACTCTGTCTCAAGAAAAAAAAGACAGGGGCAGGGGCATGGAGGGTGACGCGAGGGTTTTGTGCAGAGTACAGCTGTGCTACCTGCATGTCCCTGAACCTGGTATGCTATAGCACGTCCTGCCTTTGGATCGGGCTGCTCCCTCTGACTGAAGGTTGTTCCCCTGCTTCTCCCTGCCACCTGTCTCCCCTTGCCCCTCACCCCTCTGTGCCCTGCACCGTTTCCTTCTCAGGGACTGTCCATCCTCTGTGATCTGCTGCTTATCACTAAATTGACGCTGATGATGGTGGCCGGCAAGGCCCTGGCCTGAGGGAGCTCTGAGATCCACGCGGCTGCCTCTGACTACTGCTCATCCACGTGATGCCAAACACTTTCCACAAGTGACCTTTACTCCTTCCTTTCTTGCTGCAAGGTAGGCACAATTTCCCCATTTTGCAGATGAGGAAGAAGGACTCAGAGAGGTTCACTAATGTGCCCATGGCCACTCATAGGACTGTCTGTAGAGTTGATAGCACTGTTTTTCCCCAGAACAGACATGTTCCCCCCAGCAGCCTTCAACTTAGGAAAGAACTGGGCACCCTGCACCTGGAATAGGAAGAGAAGCGCTATGCAGTGTGTGGGGGAAGCTGGGCCGAGGGGAGTAGGACCGGCATGGGCTACTCACTCCTTCAACAGGATGACATCGGCCAGCACACCGAACATCTGGTAGAGCCCAGAAGCCTCATTCACGCGCCGCACGATGGAGCTGGTCAGCTGTGTGATGGGGAGCTCGGTGGCAGGCCAGGCGACGCAGTGGTGGCGGTGCTCCAGGAGCCGGTGAACAGCACGCACTGGAACAGCCAGAGGAAGGAAGGGCATGCTGCACTTAGGATTTTATCTCTGGTCACTGGGAGGGATGCCCAGGGGATGCCCAGGCCTCATCAACCCCTGAGAACGCCATACACACTGGTCTGCATGGCCCAGAGCAAATGTGTAGGTGGCGAACACATGAGGGGAGGAGATGGCAGCTGCCTTTAAAGCCGGGCCAGCAGGTATGTTCTGGAAAGGACCAGACAATCCATATTCTCTTGCTTTGTGGGTCATACACATACAGCATACAGTGATGCTGCTCACTTCTGCCCCTGGTGTAAAAGCGGCCAAGACAATAGGCAAAGGAGTGAGCACAGCTGGATTTGGTCTCCAGGCCACAGTCTATCTGCCCTTGCTTCAGGCCATCTGCACGTGGGAGTCCCACTCACCCCACCTCACATAAGGAACGTCAAGTCTGACACAGAGCCTTCCCCAGAAACCTTCCCCGCTTCACAGCTCTGTTTCCATCAGAGATGCGCCTATGGAAATCTTTGATTTCGCCCTCTCTTTCACAGCCTAAATCCATCTGTCTCTAAGTTCTTTTTTAAAATATTTTTTATTTATTTTATTTTATTTTTTTATTTTTTATTTTTTTGAGATGGAGTCTCGCTCTGTCGCCCAGGCTGGAGTGCAGTGACGTGATCTCAGCTCACTGCAAGCTCACCTCCTGGGTTTACACCATTCTCCTGCCTCAGCCTCCCGAGTAACTGGGACTACAGGTGCCCGCCACCGCGCCCGGCTAGTTTTTTTTCTTTTTTTTTTTTTTTTAAGTACAGATGGGGTTTCACCGTGTTAGCCAGGATGGTCTCGATCTCCTGACC